ATATTTTGTAAATGTAATTTGCTGTCTCTATCCAGCAGTTTCCTGTCGCTCTCTTTACCTAACGCTTATCGATAAAGGCAAAACATGTTAAAACAACCCAAAAAACAGCTAAAATGAACATATCTGCTAAATTTTGCACACATCACCTGCACTAATTTTACAATTAACTCAACAAACACATCTTTGAACAGCCTGTTTACTAGAATAATTGTTCCAAGAGGCTTGAATAATTCCTCTGGTTTTCTTTTTGTGGCTCATTTTGATTCATTTTGTGTACAAAAAGTATAATATAATATCAAGGTTAATCAATGTAGCATGATGTCAGACCACTCATGAATTGTCCATATTGTGACCGAACAACAGCCGGACCGTTTCTTTTGAAAGTGTCACTGTATTACAGATTTGACCGTATGGGCTCCAGAGGGCCCCTGTTCATTGACATTACTTGGCATCCAGCAGGGGATCCAGGCTCGGACAAGGAAACCTGATCCATGATGATCGCTAGCACAGCCGTCAACTACTGTGGCCTGGAGAGCATTCTCCACCTGACCTGCTGCAACCAAACCAAAGAGAAGATTACGGGCTACCTGGCTAAAGCAAAGCACCTGGGCCTCAAGAACACCATGGCACTGCGAGGAGGTGCGTTGTTAATTACACTAGTAGCAAGGTGCTTTTTGTTTTTCCAGTTGCCTGCCAAGACTTAACTGTTGACTTCCTGCCAGGAATTCTCAGGAAAGAGAGAAAATTAACCTGCAGCATAGAAACTGGCTGGTTAGGTTTTGCTCAAGCCAACTGTATTGAAATGGGACACGTACCTGATCACAACAGTTTTAATAACTCTGATTTATTGACGTTGAACAGTTCAGCCGTGCAATGTGGTCATGATGATGTGTATCTGCTAAACGTTGGTTATAAACAGAAACACGTCTTTTTTTAAGAGTCATTCCAGCCGGTTCACACAGATTTCAGAACTTTTAACACTTCATGTCATGGATTTTTTTGAAAAAAGTCATGCAAAAACTT